CAGCTGGGGGAGTGGGAGAGGGAGAAGCAGGCTCCCCGCTGAGCAGGGAGACCGATGTGGGACTCAATCCCAGGACCCTGGGATCATGACCTGAGCTGAAGGCAGACGCTTAACGACTGAGCCACCCAGGCGCCCAAAGTCTAGTTTTTTCTACTTAACATCATATCTTCAGTATTTCCTCACAATGATACATAGAAGTCTTTAAAATGATCCTTTCTGGTATCTGAACAACCAATATTTTGGCATGACCATACATGCAAAGTACTTCTAAGTGTGCTGTGTTACAACAAATCTCCTTCATATAGTTCTTCCCATCTTTTGTATTAGTGTTTTCAAATTTCAGCACGCAGCAGAATTACCTGGACAGCTTGTTAAAGTACAGGTGGCTGGGCCCCACCTCAGGTGAGGCCCAGGAATTTGCAATTCCACCAAGTTCCCAGATGATGCAAATGCTGCTTATCTGGGAGATCACTTTTTTTTTTCTTTTAGTGTATTTTTTCTTTTTTTAAGGAAGCTGTACGCCCAATGTGGGGCTTGAACTCATGACCTCAAGATTAAGAGTCGCATGCTCTACCAACTGAGCCAGCCAGGTGCCCCTCAGGGAGATCACTTTAAATAATTATTTTTATTTAAATAGAATATTATCATCGAGTTGTATTGACAAATCAAATAGTACCTTTTTATGGCATCTAAGACATATTTCTGAAAACCTTTCCTACAAGTTTATACAAATTTATATTGCCACCTGATTTCTTGATACTTGAAGCCTGAATAGAAACCAGCTAACTGAAAGAATTGACAATGGAAAATTTATACTTTTCTCCTCAAAATCACAACTCGAGGCCTCAGATCCATCTATTTATATTTCAAGGATACAGACACCATGGCTAAATGGTAAGATCCAAACATCTGTTACCACAGAAATCAACAAGAAGCTTTTATCATCATTGTCCAATTTCAAAAGTCACTGAAAACTAACCGAAATATTTATACCTTGGAGCAGGGTAAATGTGTATCTGCACTATGCAGATACAAATTAGCTGCATGTAGCTTGTTTGTCCAACAGACAGTTCAAAAACCATGTCAGTCATTGGAAGATGTAGGGCAAAAATCTGGCTTCAAAAAATTGTTTTTGATAAGTTAGAAGCAAGAGCATTCTGACTTTGGCAGGGGATTATTAGCATGTTTGCCTAAAAGCCACAGTCAAAAATCTCAGAGGTTCTCCCTTGTATTAAAGGATTCTTCATATTTGGGTAGAGATTAATCCCTCACCCTTAAATGGAGACATATACATATAAATAAACATATTCACATAAACATACAGATGCATGTATATACGTAAGCATTAGATAGCCAGATATGCAGAGTAGCTATTCATACACTGGTTTCTAGAAACCCACAGATAAGACATACGCTTAGCAAAAATATCTTCTGCAGAAGATGTCTTCCCGGCTCTTTCTCTGTCATCTGCAAACATCCTTGTATTTTTCATTCTTATTTGTTGTTATTGTATCTCTTTGAGTGTAGAAAGAGATGTTGTGTTCAGATGCATAATAATAATAAAACCATACATAAGTAAAGTGATTGGGTGTTTCAACAAACCTTGAAATCTAGTTGGCAATGAACTTATTAACTCTGGTTTATATTGAGAAGAGTAGATCAAAAGTAAAAATACGAGAATCTTTTAAGATTAAGATAATGTATTTATGACTTTCTAAGGGATGGTTTTTTCTGAGTTAGTGTTTCAGTAATTGTGTTATCTTTAAGTAAGAGCTAAGTCAACAGTCCTAACAAGCCTCAAGTGACTCAAAATTGTTCTTTGCGTGGACAGGTTCATTATGGCCATATGAAAACACTGCTGCTCTCAGAATGGACAGAAAACTAGGGGATAAACACTAATATAATATATCATATTTATTTCACTGTATGTATGTTTTATAGAATCATATACATAAATGCATCTACTTATGTAGAAAATATGACCCCACCTTGCAGCCTCAAAAGAGATATGGCAAATTTTAAAATATGCCAATGTTAAAAATACAAACATAAGAAACACAAGACGGCAATGCAGAGACAGTCAGGCAATCACTCCCCTAGTGTGTTTAAGATTCTGACTATAAGCACTTAGTACTTAATCCAGGTGTTCAGAGCAAACTAAAGTTAAAATATTAGCAGCAACAACCATATGATCACTTGAAAACCAAAACCTCTAAGCATTTTTGAGTCAAAGCTGTCAGCTCCTTATACTGAGTGAGTGCAGAATGACAATTAATTATAGTCCAAGCCACAAATCAAAAAGTACTAGCCAAAGTGTATACATATCAATGAGACTTTTTTAAGATTGTCCATTCAGTTTAGAAGAATAAATCGGGAGATAACATGTAATGAAAGGTACATATGGTCTTCATGTGAAATTTCAGTTCCTAAACTCAGTAGAATGGGAGGTGAAGGTTTCTAGGGAAAACAGAGAAAGGGACAGCGGCCTTTTTAAAATCAGCTTACTCCATCAGGGTGGAAATGGACCCCTAGCAAGCTGAAGGATAAGAATTTCAATGAATACATATTAGTGGATATTTTCCTTTTTGACAAATAGTTTTAGTTTCCAATTTATGCAGTGACAGTAAGTTTGTTTTCAAAAGGATTTGAAAAAAATGGGCCACTTTTAAAGTAAAACCTGTTATATGCACCTAACGAATCGTTGAACACTACATCAAAAACTAATTATGTACTATATGCTGGCTAATTGAACAAAAAAATAAAAATAAATAAAAATAAAAAATAAAGTAAAACCTGTTGTAAAAAAAAAAACAGTGTAAATTACCTGTGGACAGTGTAAAAAGAGAAGGGGATTAGGGTAGTTAATTACAACACTGGTCTACAGCACGTGTTATAGCTGAGTGACGCCATAACTTGCTGGGCCAATCAGAAATGACCATATTCCAGTTACTTCTCTTATTGCAGGCTCACTCGGAACATCAGAAGCATGAAACTGAATGTGTCCAATATGTGTACGCTGTGTTAACTGGTATTAAATTCAAATGCTGTCACTCAGGACTTCGATATAATTCTTTTCAGTAAAGCAAATCTCATCTCCTCTATAAACAATACATGAAAAGAATTTCACCAAAAGGAAACTATTTTCTGAGTAGAAAAACAGAACATCAAAAAATACCTTAAATGTCCAATGTGCTATAAATTTATCTTATTCGTAAATATGGATATCAAATTCTCTGACCATTGACTAAATATGGAAGACCGTCAGGTCTATATGTCATATAGACATATGTGATACATATTTTTTGCTTAAAGATTTTAGGTTACATTATAGGGAAAAGTATCTAATTTATTAATCATGTGGTTGTCAACACTTCTAAAATAAAAAGCAATAATTATGTAAATAAATGAAGCCCTAGGTTTTGATTCTAGGCTCTAGGGACTAACATTCTCAAGAAGTCTGAGTCTCAAGAAAGGCTATCCTGAGAAAGGTCAACCTAGTAAAATTTAAATACATCTGTAGAGATGCCAAATTATTATTTTTTAATGTACTAAAGCGAAAGAAGGCAGCATATGTTATTTTTGTAATAAAACCAAGAGAACAATAAGCAAATACTAGAGCAACTCTCTATCTTAGTGAAGCCATTCTTCCAGATTTGTTCTCAAGACCCTAATCGTCATATATCATTATATTTTTCTCATTGTCATTACAAAGCAAAATAGCAATTACTACCTGGAAATTTTTAAAAAATCAATAAACATGGCCCTAAAGTTAGATTAAAAAACAAAACGATCAACATTATTTTTGAAGGCTAATTATGATCAAACTTTTCTTCAAATAACATGTTGTAGAGCCTCAAAAAATTTGTCATATGAATAACTTTCAGTCAAAAGTTGACATTAAGAAAACTTTACACTGACAAAATTTATACTGGGTCATCACTGATTTTGAGTATTATTACGAATTTTCATTGATGGTACTTGCTGTCCACATTCCTTCTGCTCCACAAAACAAATAACAAGCAAGATATTTTAACTTATCCAAATGAGAGAATACAGTTCCTTTGAATCATAACCTCTGTTCTTTAAAAAATGACTAAAAAATATAGAAGAAAAAGACATTGATTTCTAGGAATATATGAGTGCTATATTTTCATCCTCTTAATTTTGAAAAGAAGAATCTTGGTCTTAGGAAATGTCACAAGCTTATTTTTAGATGAAATTATCTTGATTATTCACAAAAAAAAGATCACAAGTGAAAAGCATGAAATGTTACTTTGAGCCACTAATAACAACTTAAAACTGCTCATGACATCTAGTCCGATTTTTCATTAGTAAAGTGGATATTAATGATCATAAATGATTGTAAAATGGACACAGACCACCAGAACATTCACTGGCACACATTCATGCTTCCTTATTCTAACCCAGAGAACGAAATAAGAAATGGCAGTCACTAGGGAACCATGCCATTGTAATGAGTTTGCATTCCCACTCTGGTTCATGACCCAAACTTCTTGAAAAAATCAGGTTCAAGGCGTTTGAAAAGTTACCAGGACCAATAGGACGATCGTTTCCCAAACTTGGGATATGGAAGACCAGGGCAGAATACTGTTTCTTCCTCCCTCCCCCCGCCCCCCCCCCCCGTGGGGTTTGGGGCCTGGGGGCAGGGGGCGGTGTTTAGTTCCTTTGAAACTAAATGTATAAACAAAAAAAGGAATTTGACTTTTCTTTTTCTCATTGTATTCGATCTCTATGATCTGTTTGGTGTGTGTGTTTGTCTATATGTAAAAAGAGAAAGATAGTTCTATTTATTTAGCCCTCAGTAGTAATTATGTATACTATATTAACAAATGTTCACACCTCCTATCTTCAAATCCAACTGTATGCAGCATAAGGAAAGTTCCTGCTTAGTTACGGGTCATATTTCCCCTGTAATTCCCAGCTCAAGTCCTGAATAGTCTCAGAAAGGACAAGATGTCAAGTGAAAAGTAAAACTTTACCCTAATGAAGAGGATCTTTTCTCCCACTCGGTATCTTCCTTGAGAGAGCCTCTCCACACAGAACTTGTTTGGGCATTTGCAAGGAGGATCTTCAGAAATTCGCTTCACCTGAAAAAGAAGAGCAGGCAAGTTCAATTTTCCTTAATCAGGTTCCATTTAGATTAATTTGTTCCGTGGGTTCAAAGGCCCCTGGACCATTAATGCTTTTAAATTTGTTCTATATCAAACTATGGACATGATATGAGCACAGAAATAACACATTAAATCCTAACTATGTAAAAGTCAGTCCCTGAAGGCATTTTCTGAAGGCCAATAACTGCACTAAGGCATAAGTTGGATGATGACAATAATAATGATGCTGGAGGATCATGATGAGCAAATCAATTGGCAGTGTAGGAATAATGAGCTAGGTTCTCATTTGGGGAGAATTAAAAAGATTGTGTACATTGTGTTGCCGAGATAAACATATTGAAAGCTAGAATAGAACGTATGTTAACAGGGCAAAATTTCCTCATTATAATTTTAATGATATTAATTTTACCATTTTCAAAATAAATGAGAATTAAATTATTTTTTTAAAAAAACAAGCCTACTGTTTCATATGACTTTGAATTCTAAGATTTCCTTTAGGAAATCATCCCTACTTCACCCAGAGTCACCCAGCAATTCACTCCATGTCAGTAATTCTCACCTACCAAAACCTACTTTTGTGGCAGTATCTTAAAATGTGCATGTCATTTGGAATCCATGTCTGAATATCAGATTTCATCTCTATTTAATCTATCTCCTTACTCCTTAAAAAATACATAGTCTAAGTGATATGAGCCACATTCTGGGGTAGGGTGGGGTCAGTGAATGTGGGCGGTTCTCAGAGTTCCTCTATGTGTATTTCTTTCTAAATGTATTTGTAAAAATGTTTTTAAAGTAAAAGTGTATATACATATAAACATATATATATAAATTATGTTCAATTTATACCATTGTTAATTTATACCATATCTTTTCACCATAATAAGGGCTTCCATGAAAAAGGAAGGATGGAAAGAAGGGAGAGAGGAAAGTAAGGGAGGGACGGAGAAAGGACTTCGGCCATCCAGCAGAAAATCAAGACAGTCAGCATCATAAAAACACATTTTAGGAGACCCATGTTTGGCACAGCTTCACTGCCACATAGGAAATGGGCAAGGCAGTAAATTGGTGTTCAAGTAGTTCCTCTGCTAGGACAAGACAATCATGATTATGTATGGTAAGTGTTTCCATCTTGAAGTGTTCTTAGATGAAACGCAGAAACTATCGGTATCAAATGAAAGAAAATACAAGAAACATATTCTCAAGTGGCCTGCCCTTCTCCATTGCCTTCCTAGCTTTGAAAATGGACTGGCTTTTTGAAATCAAGGGCTTTTTTGTAGTTGTGTGAGAGGTGGAGGCAGAAATGGAAGAGACAAGGCCAGACTGTGGGTAGTGGAAATATATTGTTAAGTCAACAGTGACTGATGACATCTGTGCTTCTTATATTACCTTGGGATAAGTCAGTCTGGCAGGTGTTCTGTTTTTGGCCAGGAACTCAGCCAATTTTCTGCAGAAATAGGATTTCAAGAGGAGCCTGATTACTCAGAATTATACTATCTCTCATCCCCAGACTGAGGAAGTTGATGGAGAAGAGGAAGAAAGTAAGAATGGTTTCTTAGAATTGTATTCAATTCATTGTGTGGGACTGCGCTCACCGTGAGCGAAGGCAAACAGAGAACTTAACACAACCCTGTTTCTTTTTTTTTAATCACAACTGATTCCCTCTATCAGGACATCTGGAGAATAGATTAATCTGAATGGACTCCACATTCAGTGTGTTTCTCTGATGATAATCTTGATTAAAAAAGGTGGCATGGATTATCCGCATAAAGGGTCACCTATTTTTTTTTTAAATTTTCCACAATTTCCCTAAGGAAATTTGAGGATACACTGAAAGTTTCAAACTGGTAGTTCTTATTGAAACAGTTCATGGAATATGATATCTTAGGTCAGCTTTTCTTTCTCTTTATTCTTTTCTCTTCTTTTACCCTTCTTCTTTTGCTCTCCCTCTTTATTCTCCTTTTTTTCCTCTTTTCTTTTTTTTTGATGAAATAATTACTTTGCCAGAGTAAAAATAGCTAATATTATTAACAAAACACAGGGACTTTGCAAGCAGTCTCTATCTGAAACCCCTATTCTATAGCACACACTGCCGCTCAAGAATTTCAACTCCCCAATGGCTGTTTATGCCTCACACACAGCGAAGCAATTGCCATAGGAGCTCTTTCTTTTTTATATTTGACATATGAAGCTCTGATTTAAACCATGGGTGAGGACCAAGTTATTTTTCTCTTTGTTCCACTGTCCCTGAAACAAAACACACCAATGAAAAACTATCACTTAACCAGAATGTGAATATTTCAATGCAATTTCCCCAAATGTAGAGTGAAGGAGCCTGCAAGAGACTTCTGTGGCCAAATAAATCTGGAAAGTTCCAGATTAAACAAGACCCTCTCAGAGAACTCATTATTGCTTTTGATATGCCAGCATGCATTGCCAAACTCTAGACAGGGACTATAGTAAGCCATATTTCTCAAACTAACATAACCATGGAATACTTTTCCCCATGGGGTCTCTGGCAGTATGTTTGATTAAACATTATTTGAGAAATGCTGGCTTAAAGACTTTCAGAACAGAATATTCTAGCTGGCAATAGTACAGAAATATCCACTTGACACATTTCCTACATTCAATTAAATCCCCTTAGCTAAACAGATGGTTATGTTCCCAAACTCCACTTAGTAAACCTTATAGGGGGTTTCAAGCTCTTCTGAAATCCCCTTCATGGTTTGTAGGTGAAAGAACAGAACTTGGAGTAGAAAGAACAACCACAGAGCAACAGTCATGCCATTTATTTATTTATTTATTATTTATTTATTTATAAGATTTTATTTATTTGAGAGAGAGAGTATGAGCTGGGGGAGAGGGAGAGGGAGAAGCAGACTCCCTGCTGAGCAGGGAGCCCGACGTGGGGCTCAATCCCAGGACCCCAGGATCATGACCTGAGCCGAAGGCAGACACTTAACCGACTGAGCCACCCCGGTGCCCCAAGAGTCATGCCATTTTAAAGACAGTACCTATCTCATTCTACTCCTCAACTGGAGTATCGGCAAGACTTTTCCAAAATCCCTTCCATACTTTTTGCACCACCTTCTCTCTCTCGTCTTCCCACTCCCCTACTCAAGGGAAGGGGGATGAGGGATGGCCACACGTGGGACAAGCTGGTGAAGAAAAGGACCCAGTTGCTTCTAGCTACTTCCCCCAGGTTCATGCAAATGGCTTCAAGTGGCAACCTCTCTACCGTCTGCCAAGCTGCAGCAAGGTTGAGAGTACACGTATTTCCAGAGCACATGGCTTTTCTTGATAAACGGGAAAAGGCAGAAGCTTTTTAAACTTTTATTACCTACACTGGTAATTTATCCAGTATGCATGCCACTGGATAGATATAGATGAATAAAATATGATACTGTCATGGGGACCAAGAACCACACCTAGAGAAGAATGGGCATTTATGCCCAAGAAGGCACATACCTCTTAAAAATACACAAAACTTTGGGGCATCAAGAACTAATTTGTCAATTTTGCCTGGGATAAGAGCTACTGACAAAAACTTTATATAGGAGGCTGTGCAATCTGAATTTTAAAAGATGAAAAAGCACTTATATGAATATTCAAAGGCTGAATAAGCAGAAACCTGATGAGGAAAGCAAGTGAGGAAAAACATAGGATATAAAATTACCTTAGAAATCTGGAATTAGCAGGCATGTTTACAGTGGATACATCAGAATGCAAGAGTAAGTCCACAGGGTAAAAAGTCCAGGAAAGAAAAAATGGGCCAGAACATGGAGGACTTATGTGGCATGTCAATGACTTTGGGCGTTACCCTGGAATGTGAAAGGGAACCCCCTATATAATTTTAATCAAATCTGAGTTGCATTTTTTGCTGATCATTCTGTTAGCAATAACGTTAAGGGGGAGAATTTCAAGAAGAGAATGGTAAACAGTATCAAACACCAAAAAGTGGTCTCATAATTTGCAAACTAAAAAATTCATTTGAGAGGCACCTGGGTGGCTCAGTTGGTAAAGTGTCTGACTCTTGATTTCAGGTCAGGTCATGATCTCAGGGTCTTGAGATCCAGCCCAGCCTCGGGATCCAGGCTCAGTTCTGACTCTGTTTGTCCCTCTCCCTCCCATTCTCTTCCTCTCCCCCGCATGTGCTATGTCTCTCTCTCCAGCTAGAATAAATAAATAAAAATAAAATCTTTGAAAGAAATTCATTTGATTCAGTGATTCATTCATTGAAAGGCGAAGGGTGAAGTTGGCCAGAACTCTGCCTCTAATGCATCAGAGAAAGTGAACGGAGGTCAGAGAAACACATTTATAAGAAAGTCTAAAGGAACATCTTACTCTAAAGTAAGTTGAATCAGAAAAGTATAACCAGGAGAGAAGGAACATTATTCTCATCAACATATAAATAGTATGTCATTGCCTACTGTTAATACAATATGTTGTTCAATTTCCTTATACAATAAAAATGAAATACTATGACAAGGAAGGCATGTGACCAATCCTAAAAACAGCCCTGTGATTTTAAAATCCTTTTAGATGGCATTGGATTAAAATGCCCTTCCTAGGCTTTAATTCCTGAGTGGATTGAACAAAAGAAACTAAATTAAACTGATTTTGGCTAAAACATCTTGACAGGGTAAGTTTTAACTTGGCTGCCCTTAGAAATGGAAATTCTCAATCTGTCAAATTGTACTTCTGCTTCTCTGAATCTGCAATATAGGCCATAGTGTCACATGGGGAAAAGCAAAAGGCAATCTGTCTTCCACATCCTACAGTGTCAGTCAGCCATTTTCCCAGCTCTTTGCAGCTCAGACCCTAGAGAAGGAGACTCTCAGCTATGGGCCAGCACTGCTTTTCAGTCCTGCCTATTCCATATAAGTGCATTACGGTTGGGGCTAGTTTCTGAGGACCTTTCCATGTAGGAGACATACTTCAGTCTATCATCCCTGAGGTAACTACTTTTTGAACAACTGCCCAGGTACTTTTGAGATTTGCACTCAGTCTGTGTGCTGGGAGGTGAATGCAGGCACACAATCAAACACACTTCTTATAACCAAGAACTACTTATAACAGACAGCACAGGAGCCAGAGAGTTTTAATTCATCCAGGTTGCTCTTCCTTCCAGAATCTGTTTGCTGTGATTATGAGGGTCTACGAAAACATTCCCTAATCTGCCAAAGATAGTAATCTGCTAAGGAGAGAGGTGGGGACCCCAGACAGTTAGCAAAACTGAGTTGGAATCTAAGCTCCTCTCCCTTCGGCAGGTGATTCAATTCCTGCTTAAGTTTCTCCAACAAGAAAGGAGCCTTGTGATAACAAGAGCCCTTGAAAAACAATGATAGATCCTGGCCAAGAGCAGACAGGGAGCAAAGGGCAACTCTGTTCTCTGTGGCAGATTGATGTTCTCTTCTGCCTCCAGCTTCTTATCTGTGAAACAACCATGAACCAAAACTATCAAGGTTGAATTGTTTGCAAAGATAATTTTTAGGAAGTTAACTTATTATCCTAAAATTTTAAATACTACTCAGTAGAATTCAGTGACGCATTATTTTAAATGACTGGCTCAGGTTTGAATCTCAAAATGACTACTTCTACTGTTGTAGTTCTACAAACTTTTTCATAGGATTTAAAAATGAATTTCAATGAAATTGAAATAGGTAAAGGTTAGATTGACGAAAGATTGTACAGAATGAGTTTTGAAGTTCAGAAAAGACTAAGGGCTGGTAAGAAATCCAACCAATTTTACTTACTGCATCATCCAGTAAGTTTCCCGTACTCTTTTTTCCAGAAGATTTTGATGAAGGAGAAGGTGAAGGAGAAGGAGCAGAAAGTGTTTCTTCTTGTTCAATCTCTTTTTCCAATTTTATCAAACCAGGAGGTTCCACACCATACCTTTTAAAAGACACCAGATCAATACACACGCATAACTTATAATGACACACTTACCATACGTTACATTTGATCATGAATGCCATAGGACCAAATTGCTGACTTTTTTTTAAAACTAACTTTCTCTGGCACTGAAATGGTGAGTTCTTAAATTGGCCTCCTTTTAAGCAGGAAAAAACACATATATCTGATTTTGATATAGATACATATGTATACACTTATGTTTAGATATGTATATAGACACATGAATAGACACCTGACATATTAAGAATAAAAATACTCCATGTAATATATTGAGGCAATAACATGAATTATCATGTAAAATTTAGTCTTCAGCTTTTAGATTTACTAGCTTAGAGATTTGTAATTGAATTCCTATTTTTTTAAGATTGATTGATTGATTGATTTGACAGAGAGAGAGCGAGAGAGTGAGCACAAGCAGGGGGAGTGGGGGAGAGGGAGAAGCAGGCTCCCCACTGAGCAGGGAGCCCGATGTGGGGCTTGATGCGGGGCTTGATCCCAGGACCCCGGGATCATGACCTGAGCCGAAGGCAGACGCTTAATGACTGAGCCACCCAGGCGCCCCGAATTCCTACTTTGAATACAAGCTTGTTAAAGATGAAAATAGCAATCCCCAAAATGAACATCCTTAAATGACTTAACAGAGAAGAAATTCACTGTTAATTGTACACCTCCTCTGAGCCCAGAACGATGTAGTGTGGGGTTATACTGTGTCATAGGTTATACACTTAAAAACAATGTAATGAAAGCATGTATAGGGGTACAGTGAAAGAAAATGAATAAGAGCGAATAGAGAAATAATTTAGAATAACAATGTTAAAAATTATGTGTTGTAAATTATCAATATTATAGAAGTTCAAAAAGAGAGATGTCATTGTTATTGGCATTCTTCTCTCCCATAATCATATTTTTCTTAGGCTAAATTTTAATTGGTTTGGTTTCTTAGATGCATATCAGTTTACCTAGGTGGAGAAGACCAAAGATAATACCAGAATTTGAGAGTTGAAGGACCTTTGGGATCATCTAGTTATACTCTTAAATTTTTACAGAATAAAGAATAAAGATCCAGAAAGGGTACAGAATTAGCTAGGAGCAAGACAAAGATGCAAATCCAGATTTTCTCAGTGTAGGGCTGAAGCTCTTTTTCTCTGACCTTTTAATCAGGTGATTACATGTTAGAAAGGAGAGGAAAATGTCATTTGGAAAGTTAAAAAATAGGTTATGGATAATCTACAAAGAAAATAATCTACCCAGAGAGAATAAATATGTAGACAGTATGTCTACTACCTCAGAGTGAATAATATATTTAAAAGATCATTAAGTGCAAAAGCTTAGATTATTGTCCTGTTCTAATGGCTTATTTTAACTCACATCATCACACATGTGTTCAGGATACACTTCCAGAGGAAGAATTTCCCCACTCTTGATATTTTGTTCTTGTCGAGGGTGCTAAATTAGTTCAATTGCTGGCCTCTCTCTTTCATTACTCACTCTTCTCCAACAAGATGAAGGGATTTATCAAATTGTAAAATCTAAGAATCAGTTGAGCATGGTTGACTCAGTTCACTCTTCTTCTAGGGAAGAAGCTACCCCCAGAAAGACCTCCATAGAAAACTCCACCCTATCCATCTTTGTTTGTAATTAGGTAGTTAATTGGCGTATTTCTGGAGGTCAGTTAAAGACACTAAGCATGTCTCTCAACTTGGATTTGTTTTTAAATTTATTTTTTATTTTTTTAATTTACATATAATGTATTATTTGTTTCAGAGGTACAGGTCTGTGATCCATCAGTCTTATACAATACACAGCGCTCGCCGTAGCACATACCCTCCCCAATGTCCATCACCCAGCCACCCCATCCCTCCCACCCCCCACCACTCCAGCAACCCTCAGTTTGTTTCCTGAGATTAAGAGTCTTTTATGGTTGGTCTCCCTTTCTGGTTTTGTCAACTTGGATCTTATCAGTAGAAATTTGATGTTCCATCTGCAACTCTTTCATTTCATTTTCAATATTTTTTCAGAATTTAGAGGATAAGGATGCACACTGTGTCAGAATCTCTTTAAGAGCCGAAAACTTAGAATTTAGTACAAAACGGTTTAGGCTGTCATAACTCAACTGAACAACTGCTTTTTTGAGAACCGTCACTATTGAACAGAATAATTTTTAGCTAAATAAATCATTAGCTAAAAGACCTAGGCATCATTCATATTTCTAATGTTTTATATATATTATCCAGTTAATGAGACATAATGGAAACATGCACTAGACTGCAAATCTGTATCAGTAGAGACCAGTGTCTAGTTCATAGCATCCCAAGAGCTAGCATAGATCCTGGCACACAGTACGTACTTAAAGAGTTGCCACGTGAATGGAAAAAAAATACCATGGTATCATATAATAATAATTTTGGGTTCCAGATACGAGTTTGATTTCATTGTTCTGGATCTTTAGTTGCATGTCACTTTATTTTTTTAAGGTTTTATTTATTTATTTATTTATTTATTATTTATTTATTTATTTATTTATTTATTTATTTAGAGTGCACATGAACAGGGGGAAAGGCAGAAGGAGAGAAAGAGGGAGGGAGAATCTTAAGCAGACTCCCCGGATGAGTACAGAGCTGGTGGAGGGGCTTGATCTCATGACCCTGAGATCATGACGTGAGCTGAAACCAGGAGTCCGACACTTAACTGAGCTATCGAGGCACCCCAATTGCATATCACTTTAATAAAACATGTCAATATTAAGTGCACATAAATGCTTTACCAAAAGTTTTTCCAGAAGATTTTAAACCCTATCCAAAACTAAACCAAATATATATTTTTTTCTTTCTAGTACTTCATTAATTACACTGAAATCAACCCAGCATCTCATTACTGTTGACAAGTACCAACAACACTCACATGGAGATTTGTGTATCATTCTTCCCTGAGGTAGACTTGAGCTCACTGTGCCATTAACCTACGTTTTAAATGTAGCAAATCACTTAACCTCTAGAAGTCTGTTTTCTATCAGGAAAGTAGAAATGAAAATGGCCTGCCTCAGAGGTCTGATGTCATGGTGTGGGGAGGGAGGGAGGATGGTAGAACAGCAGCTGCTATTGAACATCTTCAATGTACCCAGCACAGTTGGGCATCCTGACATACATTATTTCTGAGCCTCCTTGTAAGTTCAATGTAAAATGGAAATTCTAACTTCTGTGTTTTAATGTTGTGGGTGCCTGGGTGGCTCAGATGGTTAAGTGTCTGCCTTCAGCTCAGGTCATGATCTCCAGGTCCTGGGATGGAGCCCCATGTTGGGTCCCTGCCCAGAGGGGAGTCTGATTCTCTCTCTGCCTCTCCCCTGCTTGTGAGCTTGCTCTCTCTCTCTCAAATGAATGAATACAATCTTTAAAAAAAGTATCCATTACATGCTCAGTACAGTGTCTAACACATGGCACAGCCTCTGAAATTGTGTTGATAATGGATGTATCAAAGGTTTTACCACTAGGAACCTGCAGCACAAAGATGCTTTTGCCAAAGCTTTTTGAAAAATATATTATACCACCAAATGAAATAATATAAGGGCCTGAAAATTAAGATGTAAGGTAGTATTATTACTACTGTTTATATTATTACTATTGTTTGTATCCTTTACAAAGGAACTTATTCTAGGCTTTCTTTATATCAGTTTTCCTAGAATTATGAAACAGCAGAAATAGCTCAGTGCTGGATGTAGCAGAGCAAGTTAGAAACTCAGCTTTGCTCCTCACTCCCTGGATGAACTTCAGTAGGTAACTCTTTTTAATCTGCCTAGACTTCTTTGAATACTTAGTCCATCAAGGTACAAACTTGTGTTATATTTAATGTCCTTAAGAGAATAACACAAACTGGGCAGTGAAGCTAGAGGAATTTAACACACTAGAATTCACGGCCAATTAAAAGTCAATCATAAGTTAAAACATCATATTCAAATGTATAAATTAAGCCAGTTGGAAAATATGATTTCACTTGTCGGTGGATTCAGGCCACCTTTCAGGAATAGGCCCCATAATTTTTTACTTTTCTTTTTTTCTTTCTCTCTTTCTCTCTCTCTCTCTCTCTCTCTCTTTTTTACAAAGTAAAATAATAATATGTTACTAGAGGAACAACAGGCTTCACCATGTCTGATACAAACTAGACTAAGTTTGAATGAAGCTGGTAACAAAGTCATACATGGAAAGCCTTGCCCTGGAGATTTTTTTCTTTATCTGGGAATGCTGAAAATTAGCTCTGCCACTGAACACAGGGAATCAACACTAAGCTCCAAATCTCTGCTTATATTGGCTTTTAAATACTTCAAGCTGCCTAGGGTAGAGTCAGCCAGTCCCAAAATGCACACTTAAATACGATTCATTGGCTTCCTGTCTGTCTGGAGATGTCAACAGGCTGTAAATCATGACATTCCCCTGGGCCTGGGGGCTCACACCTGCAAGCCAACTTAGTCACCAAATAGGTCTTTTTTTCTACTCTCCAAAAGGTTGCTTTATTCTGGTTTCCGTGATTAATTCTATACCACTTCATGTTTCTACTTTGTCTGTGAGGTTTTCACAAATCTATACTATTTTCTACTCCTTTCCAGCTATAAGATTTTTGAGTTTTGGGAGAGAGAGTTTGTTGTTTTCACACTGAATAAGGGTCAAACTAAAGATAGCAAGAAGGTTGAATTCACTAAAACCAAACCCTCACATCTGTATACCCCAGTGACAGGAGAGTAGAGTGAATAATGAAAGGGCAAGGACTCTGGTTTTGTCTCATTGAAAAAAAAAAAAGCAAAGTGCCAGGGAAAGTGTCTTCTGGTTAATGACTTTATGAAGAGGTTCTAGGAATGGCTTTTTCATTTTTCTGGCACATGACATGATTTTTGAGATTGGTCTAGATGACATAATTGAGCTTTCAAACTGAGCCCTGAACTAGAGAATTTATTCAAACTATTTAGTAGACTAGAGTATTCAAAAAAAAAAAGAAAAAGACATCTGGGACCTATTTCAGTAGAGTTAGGGGGACACATTTTAGAAACTCCCCCTTCTTAAGGCAGATAAATTTATAGATAAACAGATGAGTTTATAGTTAACAGACAGTTTATAGATTCTTGCAAGATAGTTTTGCCCTATTTTTATTCTGTTTTGAAGTAATTTAAAGATAGATTTACATTTGGAAGGAAATTTCACCCATGTGAAGACATGTGATATTCTTAGCAGTCAGAGTCAAGTGCTTTAAATAGGATGTGTTAATTAATAAACCTTGTATAAGAATATATTTTAAGCAACACTTCATTAGGCCATGGATTGAAATAGACTAACAAAAATGTTCACCAAGTATATTTCTTTCAAATGGTCATAAATTTTGTTCAAAATTAAGGAAGCACTCAAAAATAATCATATAAAAAGCTCCACTAAGATATTAATTATTGATTATGGCCCCAAACCAAAATATCAAAAGTTTTTAACTTTTAGCATAAAGCTAATCTTAATTCTGTAGTCTGTAAAAAGGCTGACTTCATAGGAATATTTTTCAGCAATGAATGTCAAAGCATTGTCATTAAAAAGATCTTTCAGGTTTTATTGACCTGCTTTTGCTGAGCATTTTACTTTTCAAAAGGAGAACAAACATATTTTACACTCAGAAACGGACACGGTTTCTGAAATATTAACAACAGGATTTCACTCTCCAGTGATGATAGCTCTATTTAGTCGAAAATAAAAGGAAGTTTTACCCATGAGAACAAAAATAAGCGGTCTTATTCTCCCATCTCAGATTTCAGAGAAGCCCACACAGTTCTCAAAGGAGCTTCACTGAGTGTCCCCAGGCAGGAAAACATGGCAGAGAATCAGAAACATCTTGAGAATCATACCCGAAGTGATGTTGATGTTTTTAAGATGACATTTGTGTAATTTTAAGGAGTTAATGTTTAGAATCAAATATACAAAAGCATCATCTGTCAGTGATTATTAAAAAAATGCTCACAACTCATAAGATTGTACTGGGAATTCCGTTATGGTCAAAACTCATCTAGTGTGTGTCCAGATTAATGTACTGAGTCATAAGAGCTCTCCCCAAATCACTTCTAGTTTTGGCTAAAGATGTCTTAACTCAATAATTTATGTAATCCTCTATGGAGGGGCGGGACGAGGAGGAAGCACAAAATAAAGATGCAGACATAGTTTTAAATTTCTTTCTGTTCAAAGAAAAATTTAGGAGTCAAATTAGATCAGGTGGATGAATTTTCCTTTTTTCCCTTTAACTAATATGCTCCAACATATAGTGTAGGGAGTGAAATTTGGGTTTATTGGGTTGCTGTCTCTAAAGCACAACTGAACTTCCATTCGATAAAAAAAAAAAAGATCTTCAAATGTGTACAGAAACTTAAGTAGACATCTATATTTAAATGTTCAATCTATCCAATTGGTATTCAACTGTTTTACCTTATGCTGCACACAACAAAAGTAACACCCCGAATGATCTCAGCATATTTTCTGGTTTTCTGTGTAAGTGCAGTATTTCACATCACTCAAGTAAGTGAAGAAAATAAATAACAAGGTTTATAAATTGAGCATTGTAACATAAGGTTATCTTAATCTTTAGATAATTCCTTTGTGAAATTAGTAATATTTTTGTAATATGAATAATTACTGCTTTCACCAGCTTACATGGTTATAAGTGTGGTCAGAAATGGAGCAACCCATTCTTATCATCAATAACAATGATGATGGTGACGATGATGATAATAATAATGGCAGGATGAAAATTTGAGGGGTGATGGATAGATTGATGGCATAGATTGCAGTATGGTTTCACAGATATACACTTACCTCCAAACTCATCAACCTGTATACATTAAATATGTACAGCATTTTGTATGTCACCCAATAAACTGGTTAAAAAAAACAAGAATAAAGAAATGGAGCAACCCAGAATCTCAATTTCAAAATAATTGGGGGGAAAAACCCCCACAAAACTTGAAATGATCCTTCCCCATGAAATTGACCAGGCCATTATAATTCTCTGTCATTAAAATTAAGATTTTAATTTTTTTTATATACTATGGAAAGGGGCAATTTATGCCAGACTTGAAGCTGAAGGAATGGGGATTTCTAAAGGGATTATGTCACTGGGTAGCATGTCTCCTCCTTTGATGACTCTGTCATAGTTAAAAAGTCTGGTTCAGCCAGATTCCTAATCCCAGTGTTCCAGTAATAAAAAGTGTAATTACAAAAAATAAAATAAATCCAGGGAACAGGCAAATAACACAAACTAAACAAGAGGATAATGACATCTCATGGCTAATTCTGCAGATGGTGCAACTCCTTCTCTTTACCTGCATATCACGGCTTTCAAGATCATGATGCTGATTTGATTCCTATATTTAGATTATTAAAACTACAAAATGGAATCTGGCACTTTAGAATATTCTAGCAGTATAAATAAACAACTGAACAAAAAGTGTTCTGCCTAATCTGTTAAGTAGGAACCATCCATGTTTCTAACATTTCATGGCAACTGCTCATTTGTTGAGATTTTACTTTGTGTGTTTTCCTTCCCCCGTATTTTTAATTTCCCCCTTTTTAGGGGCTATCTGTAGAGTCCAAAGGATATCTATTCCTCTGACTCAAGGTTGTTTGCCCAAGACTGGGTGGCTTGGCAGAGTCCTAGAAGCAACTGATACATTTGTCTTGCTCCCTCATAGAACCCAGGACGGTGATGGCTCTGTAGGGGAGTGGGGTCCAAAGGAAGAGTTGGACACTACAAGCTCAAACTACGTCCCAGCAGTGGACAGAGGACTAGGGGACCCTCTCCCAAGGCCTTCACACAGTATCTGGAGCAGTATGGGAGAGAATAGGGAAAACTCCAAACGTCTCAAATTGGCTCTTTCACTTTGAGTGGAGTCTCAGTCATATTTAATTTGAAATTTTTTTTAATTAAAGAATCTTCCTCGTACACGCTTAGTGTGGTAAAGTAAAATTTATACCTGACATACAATTTGTTGAGAATATGTTGGCTATCATGTTTTATGGAACTTGGAGTTACTTCTGATTGCAGGTTAACTTTCCATTGGATCAAAAACAAAAACAAAAACAAACAAAAAACCCAGGTCTATTCGCTGGCAGCAAGCTTTCTACCTATTGCTGTAATTTGCTGATGTGTGCACCTTGTATCTTCTTTACCCTGATTATCTTTATAAATTTCTCTTTGAGAACTTTCACCCAGAGCTAGCTCTCCCTTTATCTCATTGGCTCATCTGATCTGTATCCTAAAAGTGTACTCAGATCTTGATGAAAAAAACATCTAATTAATTCTTAATTTAATTTTGAATCAAGACTTCTTCAACCACTTACATCCTCGTTTCTAATTCTTTCAGCTTCACAGAACTGTCGGAAGATCTGTTTGGTCACTTGCAAGATAATGAAAGATAAGATATGAAACCAAAGCAAGTCAGCTGAGGTAATAAAGTCCCTTTCTCTATTTAGCTATGATTGTGACTTTTACAATTACTTCTTTTTTCCTAGAAGAAAATGATTCCATACATATTTTCACCTCTGAAGGATAATATTCTATGCCTTTCTCTAATCAAAATACGGAGAATAATTGAAAAACTATCTCCCCACTTAGAAGTAGAAGCTAAAAGACCTGAGAGATGGGATGTTGAATGAGAGAAAATGAGAAAAAAGGAACAACAGAGGAGACAGGTATTAAAATTATTAAATTTTAATAAATTCATTAAATATTAGATGATTTTAGGGATTATATTAAGAATTAATAATTATTATAAAGAATAAACAGGGAGAGAGGAGGTGAAGGAGTTGGGAGAGAGAGACATAACAGGAACAGACTTTAGTGGAAAGAGTAATAGTCACACACAACTTCATGTACAAGACCTTCCCCTACCCCCCAAGAAAAGGATGGAGGGAAAATGTATTGGACGAGAGGATATGCTTTTAGTAAATGCTTATTAGACGTAGTGGCTTTGACACGATCGTGGGGCTAGGAATATTGGTAGCATGCTTTTAGTTTGAACAACTCCTCTTGATGTTTGTACTGATTATATTTGAAAGAGTAGCTTCTCAATACCCAGGTTAAATTAACAATGCAAAGCCAGGAAGCTCCTCAGTTGCTTCAATGCTGAGATGGCCCACATCTTAACATAGTGGCAGCAGTTTGACCTACCTGGCTGCAATCCGGCCAAGCTCTAGCAAACAGAGACATACTTCTCTGGGTTGCTTGTGGAGGACTGAAAGACAAGACAGAGGTGGACACCTTTATAATAGAAGGGATTGTAAAACAGCTCAATCGTGAACAGGCTTGCCAATGACCTCTCATCCCTCATGCTTCCCATAAATGATCTAGTCTTCGTTCTCACATTCACAGAAACCATCCCATCCTATGGTACACTTAGCTCTACTGAAGTCTTAACGCAGTTTTCAAAACTCTCTGCCTAACCTCCTTCTCAAAGTCATGAGTCTCAGAAAATCTCACCCTGAGTAAATCTCATCCTGAAAATGTTTCTCTTTTATTAGGTAGTATTAATAAGTCAATCTTGGAAATATATGTAGTTGTCATTATGATATAAATAGTTGATATTTAAAAATACATAGCACACAGAAGACTATGGAGCAAGAAGGGACTCTTAAAAATCCTGAGTCTATCTTCACCAGTGATTTGAGCGAAATAATACAATGAATAAGGATAAAAATGCCATTGTTATCCTCCAAGTAGTGACATCAATGAGACTCTGAAACTTGATGTCCTCTCCTAATCAAGTCTGATTAAATGATACTTTAGAAAGATATACTTTCAACTGAATGGATTTGTAAATATGTATCAATATATACTAACAGCTAACTTTGCCCATAAAATGAGCAAATTAGAAGACTGTTCTTTGTATTGATCAGATTCTAATATAATCTGATTACTTAATAAATCTTGCTTTACGAATTGCTTTGGACACATTCAGTAATGCTGACAAATCATACTTGCATATATTGAGCCTACCAAAAGTGTATGTCCTGCTTATATTGCTCTCTTTTTAAAAAGATTAGAGAATTTTAAAAATATTGTTATATACTGCACCTAATAAAGCCAATAGATATTGAAAAAATATAATGTACTGAGAATGGTCTTTACATAGACAATATCTTGATAAAAGAAAATACTAGCCTATTGATAGCTTATTGATAAATTTTAAGAAAAAGTAATATTGTTTTAATTCTTAAACACAGAATTTTGTAATAATTCTATTTCCCAACATTATTCTATTCCTTTAACTTTAATATCTAATTCTTTCACTCCACAGATTATGGTAGTGGTAATATTTGGTCCACAGACATCAGAATGAAATTTATTAGGAGTCTGTGGTGAATAGAAAGAAAACATTTACTTGGATTGTAAAAGTATATAATTGGCTTTAAACAGACACAATTTTATTATCTTGTTATAAAATGTCACCTTTGAATCTCACAAAATAACTTCTATTCCCCTCAACAATGTTCATTAAAATAGAATTATGGAAAATCTCAATTACAGAATATTTCAATTCTTGGTAACATAAAGTTTAGCTTTAGCTGACCCTGAGTGAATTCCCTTAATCAGGAAGCCTAAAGTTATTTCTAATTAAACAATCTAAAAATAAGGATAGTTAATAACTCCAATTTCAAATGCACCAGTGGTTGACTCTGGCTAGAATGATACAAACTTCACAACTTCATTAAATCAACTTCAGTGCAATATAATATATGGACCGTAATATCACATGGGCATCAATTTCAAAAAGAGAACAATCACAAACATCACCAAACAGAAGCAAACAAATGAAAATCAATCTTTCTGTCTAGATAATCAATTCTTTCTGAGTCAGGCTTTAAAAAAAATCCTATCCATGGAACAAAATAATAAACAGGAGTTTTTGCGTGGAAAAAGGAATATATAAAAACTGAGGAGAGGAAGATTTTTTTAGGCCCTGTTAATACCCTCATCCTCAGTGAAAGCTATGCAAAGCAAGTGGCTACAGCTCCTAAAGACATGGACACAATCTCATGTACTTCCTGATAGAAACAGTGTCAAATTGTAAAAATTACTAGTGAACTGACCCAATTGTGTCAATGTGCAGTCAAGAACCAATTATAAAAATACCTGACCCAGCTATAATGATTCCTTAACCAACTCATTATACACAGTTTGAGGCCTATATAAGCATTGGAATAGATACATTTTATGGAAAATAAAATTCATCCTGAAGGAAAACAATAATGTGGCTAATAAAGATAATGTGATATGTGAGACACATTACTATTGTGTGCTTCTTTGCTTCTTCAATTGAGCTATCAACTTAAAACAGCTTTGGCATGCCCAAACTCAAACACTGAATCTACCATGGACTCATTAGAAAATCATTTTTGGCAAACTAAAAAGTAACAGCATGATTCTTCATTTTATATCCTTAAAAGAACCAGCCTATAAAATTTAAGACAAATTAACCTCTCCCTCAGCATCATTTCTTAGGAAAAACTAGTAGAATGGTTATTTTACTTCCCAAAATTCTTGGAAATGTTATTTTTCATAAAGGAAAAAACTTGCCTCAAAAAACACCCCCGTGTTATTGTTTCACATATTAATGGCTTTTCAAATAGCAGGTATATTATGCCTGGCCTGTGATGACCAAAAAACCCTACAAAAAAAACAAAACAAAACAGAAAAGCCATGTCTGATTACTAGTGAGCAATGAGTGAGATGAAGTTGTAGATGTGCATAATTTAGCACAAAACAGTAATTACTCACTAAGTAATACACCTCAAAAATCGAGGATGATGACAATCATCTGGTGATGATAGTGGTTTTGACAATGAACAAACTAAATAAAGACTAACATCTTACCTGGTGTCTTGAGAAAATGCAAATGATGTCAATGTTTATTTAATTGTAAAAACAAATACTCTTGCTTATGGCTATACAATTAAATTCAAGAGTCTTTAAATAGTATCTAAATTTGCCAAAGAGGTGACTTTGTTTGGTTTTTGCACTCAAGCAAGTTTTTTTTTTAATTTTTTTATTGTTATGTTAATCACCATATATTACATCATTAGTTTTTGGTGCAGTGTTCCATGATTCATTGTTTGTTCATAACACCCAGTGCTCCTTGCAGAACGTGCCCTCCTCAATACCCATCACCAGGATAACCCATCCCCCTCACCCCCTCCTCTCTAGTACCCTCAGTTTGTTTTTCAGAGTCCATCATCTCTCATGGTCCGTCTCCCCCTCTGACATACTCCCCTTTTCTTCCTCTCCTGTTATCTTCTTCTTTTTCTTTTTTCTTAAAATATGTTGCGTTATTTGTTTCAGAAGTACAGATCTGTGATTCAACAGTCTTGCACAATTCACAGCAAGTTTTTAAAGTAAGTTAATAGAATATAGTGGCCATGGGATTCAAACCACAAAGATCCGGGTGTGAGTATCAACTCCAAGGCTTACTGGCTGCATTATCTTGGGAGGTTATTCAATAAAATCTCATTTTTCTGAGGAAAAACAAAAGTGTATACCTTGCAATACTTTGGTGAGGATCAAAGTAATATTTATTGTTATTTTAGCTCAGTGTGTGGCACATAGGAAAGGCTCCCCCAATGCTAGCTTTATTATTTCTTAAAATTTTTGTTATTATAAATTATTTGTTTAAAGATTGTCTTCATTTGGCTTAGTCAACAATAATTCACTTATTTTTTTTTCTAAAAACATTTTTTTGTGTGTGCACCGATCAGGTATCAGTCACTATGCTAAGCACTGTAAAAACTTATAAAAAATTACTATTGGTATAATATATATAATTTAAAGTGGTCCTATTATAATGACTATATATTGAATATTTTATCATTCATATTATATCAGAGACCACTAATTATAAATCAATCTAAATCAAATGTCAGTTTAAGTAGGTCAGTTTGGTCAGCATATACAGGAATATAAAGCAGATAATCCTATAGCTATTACAAGTTTGTGCTAAGTATAAAGCTTGAGTAAAATGTGTCATTTTGTGAAACAGCAAACACCTTATCATTATATTTTCTTCCTCTGAGAATAAAATTTAGATGAGTCCATTTTTAGTAAATTACCCAAGTTGATTATGTATTATATATTTTGGAAGATCAAATAATCGAGTGCTAGCTAGTCTTTGTCAGGATGATTAAAAAGACAACTTTTAGCATATTGCATTTGAACGAAAGCTTTTGTATTGAGTCATAAGGATACTCATCTTAAACAAATCATTGTAATGATTCATCTTTGCAAAAAAACAATAAAGCTTCTACTTACACTAAAGTTTACAGTAGAAAACATTTTTTTCACTCCATCACTGAAACGTTCATATGGTTTTTTGCTTTGAGTTAGAAGAAGGGACCACTATTGCTTTCTTTCCTCTAAAAAATTCTTTTTAAAACAAATAAAAAGCTCTCCAGTCAATGGTAATTATTATGCAAAAAGTTTTATCACTGGATTTAAAAAAAATAATCAAAACCATCTCAAAGAAAAGCATAATGCAGAACACCTCTGGGAAAAGTAACAGAGATCCCTATTCAAAAAAATTGTGGCAAGAGACTCAGGCATATAACCTAGATTCTATAAAAATCTCATGGGCATCAAATGTCAAATGGAGTGCTGCTAGCTCCAGGAATAGAAAATGAGGTCTTCCACTAAAGCAAAGGGTAGAGTTTCAATGTCACAGAATCTGCAAGGATAAAATGCATTCAACCATAAATGTATAGTTTAGCTAAATATATTAAGTTTTAACACATGGGCAAAGAAATGGAAGCATGAAAAATTGTGTTGTCTATTTGGTGTCTATACAATAAAGACTATAATATTCACACTGGTTTTGAAGGAAACTGGTTTTTAGATTTATATTTAGGAAGTAAACTTGAAAAAAATACATTTTGGCTGAATATCATTTAATTGTGAAAATATCATAAATGAACATTGTCCACCTTCCCAGAATAGAGAATAACAAGTTCTAATACTCAGAAAGAGTGGTATGATAGAAAATACAATAAACTAGAAGTCAGAAGGAGGCTCCAAGCTCAGGGGTTAGAGCACTGGTCTTGTAGAAGTCAGAAGGATTGGGTTCTAGTTTAGGCTGCATAATTTTTTCATCTCTCAAACAGGAGTCTTGCCTTCTACTTGCTCTTCCTTATGAGGTGATTTTACAGTTAAAAGCACTTGGTACATATGGCAAGCACTCAATAAAGGTTA